TCTTCCTCTTTACAATAGATGTAGTACACCATCGCAATGCTGTTTTCATGCTCTATCTAACGGTGCTTAAAACAGGCTCTCTTCATCATTTTTTGTAAAGTTACTGAGCTTCAAATAACCGCATCCAAATTCAGAATTTCATTGCATTCACTTTTCCGGCCAGAATTTAAGCGCGTATCAATAGGATTTCTTCGAAAATTTAGCTCTTGTATGTAATAGAAATTGTCTAAATTATATGTACTTAACTGCATTCTTTGAAGTTATCCAGAATGAGATATCGGCACCCAAACATGAGTAGCTGTTGCGGTCATTTTATGACCCATAATTTTCTTCTGAGGAAGTCAGTCGCCGAAGCTTTGCTCAATTCTGTAAGCGTTGGCTAGGACACTTATTAACAGTTTTTGCAAAAACATCCAGCTGTTCAGTACGTGGAAAATCAGAAAATTTTATATTCCGGACTTTGAGGCACAGTGAAAAAATGTTGAAACAACTGAGAAATTTTAAATTTCAATTTTTCTCTTTTTCGCAAACTTTTTTGTCCGAATTCTTCTTAATGCATTTTGTACTACTGGCTTGTGGCTACAAGATAGGCCACTTATCATTTATACTAAAAAAACTTTGAAGGAAGTTATGAATTGTCAAAAACAAGGTTCTAGCAGAAGAACCTTCTTTGTCTTTTAGTCCGTATTTCTCTTCCCTTTTATGGTTTGAGTATAAATTAGTATGCGCTGTATTGCGAAAGATTTGCTGCTTCTGAGGGTCTTTACCGCATTCAGAAATGTGGGTTCTTTAGAAAGTTATAGCACGTCAAATTGAGAATTCGCAAATCTGCTATTCCTTTTGCACCAACCTAATAAAAAACCTTCATCATTTGTCAATGACAATAAAACATGATAAATTCAAAAGTATACTTCAGAAACGGCGCAATGGAGGACGCCACATGGCTCCGATTCAATAGATCGCGACGATTTCTCCAAAAATCTCTAGACTGAAGTTTACTTCAGTCTAGAGATTTTTTCATAGATCCTAAGACCTCCTTGCCAGATCGAGGTGAAAATTCAACATGTTTGAGCTCATTTGGACATATTTTTCCAGAGTCATTTCCAATGAGGTAACGACAGCAATGGAGATGACTCAAAGCGGTTCAGCGGTTTTTTAGTAAAAGCAAAACAATCTAAGACGTTTCCCAAGACATTTTGCTCGCTTTCAGGAATGATCATAAACATCCTCCTCTCAGAATTTTTTGCGCTCTGCGAATATAGGTAGAAAAGAATTTAAATGCCGGCTCGAAGTACCTGGCTGCCGCTCGTTTCGCTTAGATGATGGAGAAGTAGTCACCTATGTTCTGGGCAGGTTCAATGTGTTCGCGTTCAAGAGGAGCTTTATTATGATGTTGTACTCATTTTTATTGATTGAAAATGTCACCACTGATTTGAGAAACAGGTAGGAAGTTGCATTGGTGGAGAAGTAACCATGCAATATATTGCAACTTCGCAACTATTGAAAAACCCTCAAAATGAAGTTAGAGCAGGACTAGGCACAGCTGGCACCGGGTCAAGCTGGATATCGTTTTTAGGGCGGAAAGCAAAGGGGGTATCGTTTTCCGAGGTCCGGGGCAGCGAAGAGCCGCAAGAATGCCGGCGGCATGCCACGCATGCTGTCCATCAAACAAACAAAGGCGTTTTCAGCCGAAACGCAATACCATGACACCAAATTTGGTGTGAGCATGCGCGTTGGGGGACCCGAACTATGGCCCAAAAATTTATGGAAACTTATGTAAATGAAAGCTGTGCTGAACTTTTTCCTGAATTAGCTGGCTCCGCGCCAGCTAATTCAGGAAAAAGTTCAGCACAGCTTTCATTTACATAAGTTTCCATAAATTTTTGGGCCATAGTTCGGATCCCCCAACGCGCATGCACACACCAAATTTGGTGTCATACTATTGCATTTTGGCTGGAAACAACGCCTTTGTTTGTTTGTTGGGCAGCACGCCGGTGGTATATGCCGGCCGCATTCCTGTGGCTCTTCTCCACCCCACCTCGGAAAACGATACCCCTTTTGCTTTCCGCCCTAAAAACGATATCCAGCGTAACCCGGTGCCGCTAGGCCGATCCCTGGACCCAAGGAAGAGGTAGGCTAAACAGATTTTCGTTAACACTTACTGAACTTGTAAATGACATGCCACTCGAACGTGGCAGGAGGTTGACCTTGATGTGAGGTTATGACCAAGTTTATTACAAGAGTAACAATATGCTTCTTGAAAAAATGAGTCCGTACAACCAAAAGCACCGACCTTGACGAAACTATGAATTGGCCTTTTAACACTATCTCGTGTAAATCGAAAAAAAAATCTGGAGTAACTGCTCTAAAACTAACGGAATGTGTATAAGTCATAGTTATCTGATGTTCTAAAAACAATGGGGGCGATCGCCAAAAATCTGGGATTATAAGCTCTGAAAACCACTTACTCAGCGGAGGTTTCAGCACGGACAATTGCTTCTCAATTTTGGGGATGTACAAAGAAGCTAGGAAAACCATGAAGACCAGAAAAAGCCGATGCTGCAAAGCATGTAGCACTAGTAGCAACTCTCACAGACGAAATAGCAATCTTGTTCACCGGATAGCGATTGTGGTTCTACGAAGACAACGATCATTAAAGAAAGGTGGTGGCAGAATGAGTAGCGCCAATGGTATATATTAGGTTGTCTCATAATTGGTACACTTTTAGAAAAATTCAACTTCAGAAACTCATTTCCAAAGCCATCTTTTTGAGCGCAATAGAAATTATTGCAAATAGGAAACATTTGGCTAAACAACGCAAGCTTCCGTTGGATCGTTGCCGCTTCGAGAATGATTTTCTAGCCCGAAAAATTCAGTAATGTTTTTAGAAACTTATACTGTGAGGGAGTTTAAATTGCTCTCGAATCTAGGATCGCGCAAGCTGCGCTCGTTATGTAGGGATGGTCGGTTGAATGGAATGAAGTTGGGATTTAACTACATTTTTTTGCAAGAAAATTACGCAAAAAATTCGAAGTACCTACTTTTTCCGGCATTTTGTAAAATTCAAAATTTGCCGTAGGAATTTTATATTTTTTCTCTTACAAAAGACGAACATCCTGCCGATTTCCTATCATTTGTTGTACTAGGTCCAATCTGGGTGTAAGAGCGTAAGTTGCGCAATCTCTTTTGGCTTTCTATTGTCATGCAGTATAGCTGTAGCTGCAGTATAGTGTGGGCCTCAACGATCAGCCAAGTGTGAGTCAAAATTTCTTGACCCAGGCTTTACCAAAAATCTCATAATGCGAAGCTTTTTGGAGCACAGAACTTCACAATCGTTATGGAGCGAGGAGAATGAAAGGAAAGAATTTTATGATTCAACATTTATCTTTGAAAGCATGAAACTTTTGTTTGAACAAAGATTTCAAAAGCGAAAGCACATTTTAGAAACTAGAAGAATTGGGCTTTCAAAGTCATAAAGAGTGTTGAAGAAGAACCTCCAAAACATTTTCTTTGAGAATCATTATTTATAACCTCCTTTCCAAAAGGAGGTTATAAAAAATGCACTAATTATGAGACAACCTAATATTGGGTCGTCCAATAATTTTCATTACGTTATATATTATGTGGAAAATTCCGAAAGCTTTCTAAAAACCACAAATTTGGTTCACATTTGAGACACACCAGCATGGTTGATGCCGCAAATACAGGAATGGCCAGAAAATTCACGACAGTTTTGATCAGACTCAAACTTGCAACTTATCTGTAATTTTTTTCTCTGCACGTGCTTCCATTTCTATAATCTTTTAGAATGTATTTCGACACCTTATTACATGAGGGCACTAGCATACCTCTAGCGCTTCAAAACCAGGGGGTGAAAAAATATCAAAAAATCTCAGAAACTTCTTGAATTCTTCTTTTTTTGTGCATCGACTAGAAATGAGTGCAGAAAGTTTGAAAATAAATTTTTAAATTTTTTTCGAAGATGTTTTCTTTGCTAATATAATGTTGATTGCAAGGTGGCACACACTGAAATTTGTAAATAGATAAACGCTTAGGTAAACTCGTGTCCGTGTCATCCCACCATATTTGGTAAACACTGCAGATTATGTCCTGCCTGGTTACCATGTGGTCTGTCGCTCATTTACCTGGCTGCTAACTCATATATGAAAATGAAAAAAACGGATTTATAGCGAAAATGGGTGTTTTGCGCACGAACCGTGGATGCAACGGTACCGAAGATCTTCTAGCCTTGCCTTGTGTACATGCGGTGTACACGAAATCGTTCGAAAGCCTCTGAAATTTTTTGAACCAAAAAGAAAAAGTATGACGGAACTTATCCGACAGCCCAATAATATACCGGGGAGATATCTCAGGCTTTGTCATATCGAAGTTTTAGCAACATCGTCAGATAAACAAAGTAGCTAAGCGTCGAGAATGTCTTGTAAAAAAGTAAACAGGTGTACACAATAAGAATCTAGAAAGAAAAATAGGAATTTCGTGAATGAGTATGACAGCTATAATGAATAGCAATAAGAGAGCAGAGTGTTAAAGGTTATGGGGTACTAATCATCAATAGTAGTTACACCACTGGAGGTACCTAGGCTTGGGGAGGTACAGCCTGGACTCCAGGTTCACGGTGAAGGCATACACGCTAAGATTGAAAAATTTCTCTTTTGTGAACACTTCAAAAGTAAAGTTGTTGATCTTGCCTTCAAACAAAATACCCCCATTTCTGGCTCCCCATATATGCATATTTCCATTTGCTTTTAAAATTCTTGCTGTCGAAACCGTCACAAAAAGCATCCATTATCATACAATTTGGCTTCATGTGGAAATGAAGACGAAAAGCTTTGATTTCACATGCATCAATTATCAAATTGATGCATGTGAAATCAATTAGCTGTTCGGTCCTAAATGTAGAGTGAATTTGCAATTAGCAGCTTGAGAGACCATCATTTTGGCAGTCTTGGTATAAAAGCTATGCATTACGATGCTCTCTCAAAATGCAGCTGTTTCACCTCTTGTCCGCGCTTTTAGGTCCGCTCATGCTTCTGCAAGCAACAATGGGACAACAACAACAATTTAATGCAACGGGACAAGAAGACGATGTGTAAGCTGGAGCGGAGTACATCGCAATGCTTGAGTTCCTTTTGCGTTAAAGATGTTTTACTTTCAGCGTTACTCAAGGCATTGGCAGTGTGTTAGGGAAAATTGGCAGATGGTTCCTTCCAAGTATTTTTGGAGGTGGAGTTCAAGGAATCATGGACTACTACGGAAATAAACATTGACAGTTCCCACATCATTCTGTTGACCTAGAACAGAAGAAATAAAATGTTTTGTAATTTCGAAAGTTACAAGACTGCAACGCACTAAATCCATTGGGTTTTGATGCTTGGTTTGGACAATAGAGTCAGCTGCGAAACCACGCCCATAGAATGGTATTCGGATGAGTTCAACTGGTCATCAACTTTTTGGTTTTTCTTCCCTTCCAGCAAACATCTGTACTCTTCTGACAACACATTTTTTCAATCAATTTTCAAGCTATAAATCAGCTTAGTCAAGCCGCTCATCTCTTGCATCCTTCGAAAATTCTAGCCGAACAATATCCCAGCCAGCCTTCCATTGAAAAATGTATCATACTGCCACTAGTTGATTTCCAAACGGTTTTGAAACAGATATTCTGAAGCAGAGACAGTAGAGCGCATATTCCCAAATTTTGTTCTGATTGTTGAATCATGTTGTGGCAAAGAGGGTTTTTGATAAGTTCAGCCGCAGCATACGATGGCCACAAAAGCAATTTGAAGTCGCTGAAGACAAGCGTCATTTTGTGTTAGGTAGAGGACATTAGATCGCCTATAGTCTCTACCCTCGCGTACCACCAGTATGGACTAGTAGTGTATAAAGGATTTTGCAGATGTTCGCGCAAGATCAGAACCTTTTGGTGTCCTAATGTCTTCTACCCTTTGTCTTCCCCTCTTCGTCCTTCTCATGGGACTCGCATCCAGTCGCTACTTTTTTCCTTCCCTCGGGAGAATTATAACAAGCGCGTTGCAATAGTTTTTAACTTTTTTGGGCAATGACCTGTTCGTCAAAAATATTTGCAGCAAAATTGTTGTATACAGTATTTGCAGCACATTGACAACGGAGAAAAGTGGCGCAAAAATCCCACGATCATAAGATGCGGTCTGCATGGAAACAAATTTATACCAGTAACTTCTTTATTTCTCGTGAGCATAGATGCGATAGGTGGAAAAAAATTTCTCTGACCCCCTTCACTTTGAGTGCCGGCATCTGGCTGACCCCTTTCACTTAAGGTTGGACTAGAATCAAGGCATAACGGCAGAATCAAACAGCTACAGCGGCACTTTTTGTTTGAAAAAGGAACGCCAGCTGCTCATCTCTTTAGACATCAAGACTGCAAGAGAGTGTCGAAGCAACAGCGTTTTGCTGAAAAAATGCATGCTTGAGACCTTCTGCGCACTCAAAGTGGCACTGATAACGAAACATAATCAAAAAGTAAAAGCATGTCTGATTCTTTGAATAATTAACATTGTATGAATGAATACACACTGTCGCAAGAAAGAGTTGAGCAAGAGTAGAAACTCTGGACTAGTTAGTGATGGATGCATGTTTACTGACAAGAATCGCACCATATCTCCTTTCACTAAAGAGAATAATAACAAATAAAAGAGCACTTAGATTACTCGTTTCTTAATCTTTCGAATCATATATGAAAAAACGAAAAAGAGCTTCTTGGTTTGAAAAGATAATTACTCAGAATTGGCTGATATTGTAGCCAGAGCCAGATGAAACTGTTCGTATCTTGCTTCACGATAAAGCAAGGAAAAGAGAGAGACGGTTTACGTAGATTTCTCGTGCTCTTAGTAATCGAATTGTATACAAAGTGTTGGGCACAAAGCTTTCCCAGTCCAAAAAAGTCTTGCTCCTGCGACCCATAAAAAGCAAGAGTGGGGTGGAGCACGTCAATACTGAATATTTCCAACTAATTTTTGAAAAGCCACAAGTTTTTTTCCCCAACAACCAATATACCTTTAGAAAGCTCACGAAACAGGAACTCGACGTAGACCGTCTCTTTTTCTCTAGCCCTCCTCAGAGATACATGGCATTTTAGCTAAAAACATGTGTGTTTTTGTGAGGAAATTTTTGTGCAAAGATTGATTGAAAATGCCCAGTTGTCTAACCCTATTACAGAGCAAGACTTTGCCAGTAAACGTAGATCTCTCTTTTTTTTCTAGTTTTACTCTTTCTTTCAGAAATGGAGCTCAAATTGATTGCATAAATCAGCTGATGCTGGAGCTTAATATAATTTCTTTATATCTGAATTCACAGGACAGCTGGAAAAAAGAGGCGGTCTACGTCGATTCTGTATGTTCCAAGCTTTGAATGATATGTCGATTGATGAAACATAAAGCTTTCTGAGTCAAAAAAGTCTCTGTTAGATGACCTTCCAAAGCCTAATATTGAGGAAATTTTTATGTTACACCTATATACCACTTATTTTCCTTTTTTTCACTCCCGCTCCCGCTAGACATGTAAGCTTGCGTCAGCATTCACCTCAAGCAACTCAACCCCTTCTTTTCTAGGTCAGAAATAGCCAAAACCCCCTTCACCTGGAGGGGATCCTGCTCCCACATCGCACCTATGTTCGTGAGGACATGTTTTGTGAAAGACAGTTGCACGAACTCTTTTTTGCAGAAAAAAAAAGAACATATGGGTTTCGGCGGGAAAAGAACGATTGCTATCATTGTGTGACACATCTTGGACCTCGGCCCTCATGTAGTCTGTCTCAAGTGTTCCTTAAATGTGGCCATGGCCATCCGATTTCCTGCAAATGCTACTTTGACAAAAAACACTAGTCCGTAAGTTGAAAACAATTTTGAAGAAAAGCACCCCAAAGAGTGGTGAAAAGATTTTTGAAGAAATTTATCAGTGACGGGCAGAGTACGGGTTTTGTCATCTAAAGGTGAGCGATTAAACACTCACCGTTACAACATGTAGCTGCAATTCCACACAACTATTCCCTAAATATGTAGCCTACTGGGACAAATTGTCTTCAATTTCTTCTTTTCTACTGTTTGAATAATGGCAAAAAGCCTTCAAAAGTCAAGGAATCACTTAGTGACAAATCTCAATAAAAGCTATCATTTTACTTTTATCAAAAAGTTTTTACACCACAACGATTCATTTAATGTCAAAATCTTAACAAAAGGATGCCATTGCCACATTGATATCCTACTTTATAGTCAACTTTCAAAAAGACTACGAGACCATTCTTTTCGGCGTCTTGGTATAGAGCCCTCCATACAATATACTATCCTGTAATGCAGCTACCTCACTTTTTGTTCGTGCTTTTTGCTTCGCTCACATCACAAGCACCAGTAGGACAAGAGCAAGGATTCTTACAAAGGAGGTCCGTTTAATTGAAGTGGCCTTTTCAAATGAATCTAAACCACTTTGAAAAGCATTGGACCTTGACTCCAAATCTGCTGTCAATATTTGCCAAGCTTCCTGGAGCCGGCTTACGCTTATTGTTTTGAAGTAAAAGATATACGCTAGAATCTAGGTGAATCGATCGTTACGAACTTTTCAGCATGCAAAAAGAGCAGTGTTGAGGATGAGTGTGTCAAACAGAAGTTAGGAAGTGCTCGGACAATCAACTCTTGATCATTTGAGCAATTCTCTACGAAATTTGTTTGGGTCGCGCAATCAGTTTTCTAACCCAGGGACTCTCATAACTCGGCATCCAGAGGCAAATAACGATGACATATTGAAACCATCTTCCCTGCTATTCAGGTATACTAATCTAGGAGTCACACAAAAAGGCTTTGTCGACCATACGGACCTCCTTTGTAAGTAACGACAACTAAAGAAGTGTAAGTCGGATTGGAACAAAATGCAGCTTCACCCCTAATCGAAGTAGCTTTCAACATGAACAATTTCCGATTGTCACCTTCATGTAAGCGTTCTTAGATTCCAGTCGGATCCTCCACGATCCATCTAACCTCGCATGACTGTTTTTTCTTTTCTTATCAGTGAGAGACTTAGCGACCTCCTCTTTCAGAAAGGAACAGATTTCTATATCGACAATCTGTGTCTCACCTCGATGGTATCAGTATATCCAAGAAAAGGAAAGATTCATCACATTTACACGTGGATGCGGTATGCAGATGTAGTCAGTGTACGTTGCAAAATCGTGCAACTAATGAAGTTTTGCCTAGAGTATTTTCAATCATGGATCATTGGAACATTGCCGGGACGAATGCCGCCATCCATCTTGCAAAATTGTGACAATGCACCACCGACTTCTGTGTGAATCGCTGGCGAAAAAGGATTGTACGGAGTATCCCACGAAAATGTCAAAAGTGCTACTGCCCGGATCGTCGCAACCGTCTTAGTCGAGCCTTGCGCCGCTTTCGCAGACGTATCGTCCAGGCATTTTGCCAGATTCCGATAGACGCGTCGCTTAGCTGTCGTCGTCTCCTCACTTGTTTTCCATTTTCGAATACTTGTCGTAATTCCTGGTTAATCTGGTCGAAACTCCATGCTTAAGGTTCCACGTTAACTTAGAGATAACTCTGAGTTCCGTATTTGAAACTCAGAGTTATACTTGTTGAAACTCTGAGTTTCGTTTCCAAAGTTCCAAGTTTCAACTCTCCTCAAGCTAGGAGTTTTGCTGTTTGCAAAATCGATGTTAAAGTTGGGACTCGAACCTGTATGGTCTAGTCCAGTGATCCTATCACTAAACCGCTAGGCCTTGGCACACACTTAGAGATTGAAGTTGCTTCGCCATAATCATGTCAAATGAGTTAAATCACATATCAAATAAGTTAAATCGAAACCTCATTCAATTGTATTTCTGTCGTGAAATGGAAGTTTATCGCACAGACTGGTCTTCTGCGCAACCGAAAACCTTCAAACAATAGAGAGAGAGGATGGCAAACGGTATAATAAGAATGGACTCTTCGAGTTTGCGCACAGAATAAACCTTCCACGCGAAGTTTACCTTAATCTGTTTTGGACCACTTACAGTATGCCTACCGTATCCCGCTAGATGGCATCACCGCGCGAAGGGTTCTGTAACTTGTGGTTGGCGCGCCGAAACCTCACTGACTCGAACTTCAGCCATGTTTGTGACTTGATTCCACTTACCGTATACCTACCGTGATCCTTTAAATGACATTAGTACGTAGAGACTGTGCGTAATCTGCGTCTTAAACAACCCCAATGCACCAAGTTCTGGCTAAACCCGCCTCTTTAACTACCTATCGTAAACCTACCGTAACCTTGTCATATGTCACCGCGGTATAAATGAATACCATTCGTGACTAGCGCGCCAAATAACCCCACCGGTCCAAGTCTCGGCCAGTTTTTCCTATCTACCATAAACCTACCGTAGGCCGCTATGTGACTCCATGGTGAAAAATGAGTACCATGTTCATGATCAGCGCACCAAATAATTCCCTGGGACAAGATTTTACAAAATTCCAAAATTTTGTAAACTTTTTGACTGCACAGGACTTTTTGACTGCTTCTCTTTTTGCACTATTTCTCTCTCTGACCAAACTCAGAGTTATCTCTGAGTTCCACCATAGACTACGTGCATCAAACTCAGAGTTATCGCAGAACTCAGTTACGCGTTCGGTAGCGCCGTTTCATGTGCAGAGCGATTTGGACAATGTTGCTCTATCAGGAATAAACTATCAGTCACGGAGTATCCTGCAGTATCATTGCTTTCCAGATTTGTTCTGTTCAAGCACCTGTTAAGGGGGCCAAAAAGATACGCGTTAGCTCAGAGACAAGGCAGAGTCTCTGAGTTATGATTCTGAGTTTCGACATGATTATTCACGAAACTGATGATTCTATTCTTATCTTAAAGTTTAGCTCATCTAGAATCGGACTTAGTCCCGACTTTGCCTAAATCATCAGTTTTTCCGCTTGATGAACGCAGTGGAATGGCATCCTTAAAGGCAGCGTTCACGCAAATCTGGACAGAAGGAGATTGCAAGTGGAAACTGATTCTAGGAGCTCAACTAAGACATTGCCTAGATAGCAGCGCAGATGGTGCACCGGAGCCCAGTTAATCGCCCCTAAATCAGGCCCCGCAACTACATCTAGAAGACAATTTGCATTGGGTTGCATGATATCGCGTGGTGACCCAAGGCTTTCAAAACTGGTCCCGCGCAAAACCTTGCAAGCCGATGTAAACGGTCCGTTGGATACAGTTGTGGGATGGTGTTCACGGACGAATACTCAGCTGCAGGTTCATTTTCTGCGCTGCCGCTTAGCACTGTCTTAGCTAGGACCCCAAAATTAGCTTCCACTTTCGATCCTCATGTAGCCAAACTCGCCTGGATGCTTCCTTAGAGCTGCAGAACTTGCAGCCATTGTAGAAAATGAATTGATTTCGACACTGGCTGCATCGAGTCTTGCTTTTGCCTACGGAAACCGTGTAATTGAGAAAGCGTAATATGACTTGAGCGGTTGGCTGTAAGTTCTGCAGAATTTGGCTGCCTAGAATAGAGCAGATCCCAAATGACTTCTATAGGGGAGACGAAAGACAGGAAAAGACGAGACGAAACAGTTTAAGAAACCACGGGCACATAGCGAAGATGCAGAAATAAACTGGCAAAACAAGCAACAGCGTAAAATATGACAAATATCAATATAGCTAAAGGAGGCCGAAACCATCACTTTGGGAGAATACGCGACCAGGTGGTACGAGAAAACGAGTAAGGAGGTGGTGGTACCAAGGGGGCATCTATGAAGGCCTGCAAAATGCCTAGAATGTATTTTTGCAAACGCGGCGCAAGACCGGAGAGAGGCGGCCGCGACAAAGGAGCAGTAGCTAGTCTGAGAGTCGCGTTAGGATATGTAACTGCAAAGACATTTAGAGCAGACCACCTGCGCCTTCTCACCAGTGCGGTGGAACATTCACGTCAACCGCGCGTCGGTTGTGCTGCTGTAATAAATAAAGGCCCCGGATGCTACCTTTCCGCGGTCTCTAGTTGATCATACTAACCGAGCAGCGACCGACTCAGGGTCCTCAAAGGCACCGTCCACCCAAAATGAGTGTAATGAGGTGTCATGTAGTAAAGGCCCCTTCCATTATATGACTTCAAAATCTCATTACCCTCAATTTATGTAGACAGTGCTATCAACACACAGCGCGGTCGATCTGGGCGGCTCGCAAAAATTGCGAATTCTTAGAGCACCTTTGAAGGGAAATCACGGCTCGTACGTTTCCAATGCTTGAGTGAGGATGTTATCGGTTGTCTGAAAAGCACTCTTTGCACTCTTATAGGATTTGTGGCTGATGTAGCTTCCTTGTTTAAGGGTATCTTCATGATTCGAGTATCAACTTAATCAAAAAAAATCCCAACGATGAACAAAGTAGTGTGAGTGATAACGAAAAGCATGTACCATTGCCACCGGTTTCTCTTACTTGATCAAAAATGAGCCACTTTTCAAATTTTCTTTTTCTCCTCAGATATTGCAAAGATTACATATCGTTAATTTTGAATACGCGGCTATACCTCAAGGAGAACGCTGGAGTTTAAATTATCTAAAGAGAATATGTTGCTTATATAATTTTTTCATCCATTTCACAATTTCTTTCCTCTAATCTTTAGGCGACAATAGGTGAAATTAAGTGATTTGGAAACTCTTTGACTAGTAAAATGCAACTCTCCTTCTACCATAAGCTTGTTAACAAGGCTTCCAGAAAGACGAGATGGACTGGACTGGAATGGACTTGTATAATGTATTCAAAAAAACTTCAAACCTTTTGTCTTGTTCAGATTTCACAAATTGCAAAGCATCAAAGCCTGGACTTCCTCGGTCTATATTGGTTACCATGTATAACTTACCTCCGTCCCACTTTCATACACATTATTTTCGTGCTTGTTCTACTTCTATATGCCAGCTCCTACCCTCTCGTATCTGCCTTTGTTGTAGATCCCAGCGTTTCAGCTCAATGTTTGCTAAGGATAAGTAAAAATGGTGATGGTAACAACCTGAAGATGAATAATGTATATTAGCATGCTCACTTACTTCTGCCCTGTGCCAACTCTTAAACTTGTAAAAAGCATAAAGCTTTCTTAATAGTGTCAATAGATCATATCGATCAATAGCAGAAAGCAGCCTACGACAATCTTCCCGCTTTTTGAGGAAAGCTTCCCGGCTTTTGCTCTGGTACTGTGTAAAGTTACCCGCCTCAGTATGTGAAGGCAAGCCCCCGAGCTTCTCAGATTGTCGAATCACTCCTGCATAAAACATAAACCGTTATTCACTCCTAATCATCATGAAAAGCGTGGTTTTTAAAATTGGTCTAGCTTTTCTCAGATCTCTGAAATAGAAGAAAAGCTCTAACCTTCGTTTGAAAATTCGTATTCAGGTGCTCAAAAATGGGGGTTATTGTGAGGCGTAGACGACTAGACATATAGCCTAGGTGTTACCTCCATTAATTGCCAAGTAGTCATTACTGCTGGTCGACCATCACTCCCACTATTTACAATTATCCATTATAAATCATCGGCTCCCAGATTTGCATAGAGGCAGAGTCGTGGCAACTCAAAACGGTTTTTGATAGCGACAGAGCACGACTAGCAGTGCTGTAACATGGAGCTTCGACAAGTTCATCGACGTTATCAGAAGAAGTCCGTTCTCCGCACATGTGCGAATCTGGGGCCCAATCGTACGCCGATCTTCACTAGCTCTGCTTACCATTTTTGATAACATGTAAAAAATAGACTTTTAAAAGAAAATATGCAGAAGTATGACTACCAACAATTCATCCGTTGTTTTGGATTATATTGCCACGATTACATTAAAGTAAAAAAAAACGCATGACTCAACGATGCGAGAATAGTTTACTGCTCAGGTGTTCACTAGTGGTGCTGAGGTCTCTGTTCACTCGTGCCTCTCTCCCCTCCCCCCTCCCCCTCCCCGAGATTGAATGCAACCTTTTCTGGAAGTTACTTACCTCAATGCTTTTTTCAAAATTCAGTTATGAGTCCGTAAGCTTTCTTAGCTCGGAAGTGGAGTGCGTTGCTAACGCACACATTTAATCAAGATGTTTTGTCGGCCTCCGTGTTTACTAGCAATCTTCACCAATTAGACCTCTCCTTAGTAGTATAACCAGCTGATAAGCCCTTTCGCCCGCTCACGTTTTCAGCTGGTTTAACAAAGTGCAAAATCGGGCTTAACTCTATAAGCTCAACTTAACTGGGTTTCAGCTTCCTTCTATCTTTCGTAGTAGAGCAAATACCTTCTGGACCACATCGCTTTGAATTACCGCCGTCTCCATCGTGGAATGAAATTTAGTTTTACCGCTATTGTCTACACGAAAGTTGGAAGCGGTTTTATATCGATTGTTAAGAGTTCATTTTTCTCCAAAATCGATGAATCAGTAGAAGGAATGGGAATTTTGATACGAAAAGAGTTTCGTCCTGATCGGTCCACACAAAAAATCTCCATAAAGAACACACTAACCAACTTACCAACACTCAGCTTTATTTATGTATAGATATTGCATCTAGTGATGTATTGAGTAAATAAACAAATAGATAGTATTGTGATATATCGAGTGACTAAACAAATAAGCAAATAAACAGAGATACTTTTTGACGTCTTCAAAAGCTTTCTTATGCATTTGATGCTCAACTCAAACAACAATACAAAGTCCTTCCGTGTTATTGCAACTGTGCGGACATCCGGTGCAGGGTTTTCCAACGGTGTAGATCTGTCCGTTGATATGGTTGCCTCTTAAATCGCATAAATAGCGTTGGAGTAGATGTTGATGTTGTAAAAACTTGCTTTGGTCCATACTGACAAACACCGAAAGTGAAGTTAGGACAGGCCACGACAGCACACCCAAGCTTATAGCTAGTATCCCAGGCCATCTTAGTTTGTAGGATTAACTACAAAAGTCTACAATAGAAGCCACTCACTTGAGTGTAGTGCCCAATTTTCTTGCCGCGTCTTTTCCATAATGCCATTGTAAGCCTATTTTCAGGACCAATACCAAACTCTTTCAATTCGTTCCACCACTTTTGAGAGGCCTAACCTAGTAATACGGTTACTTTCCTGCATCGTCTCACCATCTCATCAACCTGTTCAGCAGTCTTGATTTTGTCAAAATTAAGAAAGGTTGTCATAAAGAGATTTTCTCCAAGTCCTGGTCTTTCTGAATCTTTGGAATGAGCGAAAATACACTTTCGAGCACTCCTCATTGCCGAAGCTTCTATAGAACAATCGTACACCTGAAAACAAATATAGCACGCGATCATCCTCAACTAATACTATTTCACAAGCATTCGGTTACCATCCTGAGCATTTTAGAAGCTTTTGGGGCCTTTCCGCCTAGCCCATCGGGTTCCAAGCCACGCGCTAGACTCGACCTTAGAAAGATTTAGCATAGATATGGAAAAAATAGCAACTCAAGAATAAACCTGAAAGTATTTTGTAGGTTTACAAAAGCCATCCTCACGGAATCTGTCATTCCAGCGTTTGAGGGGCACATTTTGTTGGTTTCTGTGAAAACAAAGCTGTATGTAACGTTTCGCTTCTTGTAGCAAATACTTCCTCTGACAATAAGTTCCAGACCTTGCTATATTGTAAACAAGCAATATGGTGCACGCCTGTTGCAGAGTCAGTTGAAACTTTTTAGTCAATGACGTTGCTAGGCTACATGGTACGCAACAAAATCCACTTCCCTTTGACTGTCATCAATATTTTAAATATTCCACATGTACGATCAAGCTGTGAAACGTTATGGTGCCAAAAATTCGCAACCTACTTCGCTTCGCACATTGAGTACTCCCACAAGTCCTTCAGCTCTTCGTCTGCTTAGCAAGCTCCGGCAATGAATGGCTTGATTTTTTTAAAACAGTCTTCATTCAAGTTAAAATGCGAGCACGTTTAAAATTTCTCGAAACTGTGGGAGGTCGCAATATACCATTGATAGGCACCACTCAGTGAGGACGGTTGACGCAAATCTGTAATATCTGTGATGCAGTGGCGTACTCAGGATTTTGGCTCGGGGGGGGGGGGGGGCGACAACAATTTTTTTCGATGGCTAACGTCACGCACCCAGAAAAAAATTTTGGTAAGCTTCTCAAAATTTTGGCGGGCCCACAACCCCAAAATTTTAGAAAAAGGGGGCGTGCAAGATTGAATTTTTAAAAAATTTTAAAAGTTATTTTAATCACTTACAAGTATAAATAAGTCTCTTGCACAATTTTATAATCCATGTAAGTAACATTCAAAAACGCGACCCGTTCTCGGGGGGGGGAGGGGGGGGGGGTCGGTACGCCACCGCTGTGATGGGATGGTTGCCTGTCTGACGCAGATGCCACGGGGGCCACTCGTTCGGCGACATATAGTCCTATACCCAAAACTATCATCCAAAGTTCTTCATAAAAAACGCAGCGCGAAATTGAAAGTACCCGATTTTGGATGTACTAAGCTGTGCATAAGTTTTTTTGGCTTTGTGTTTGAAGCAGCTGCTTTAGAAGGTTTTCATACTTGTTTCGAAAATGTCTGTACCATTAGAAAAAACTTTTCTTGCTTTTCCCAATACTTAGTGGAATCAATGAAATTCAGTCTAGCAAGATGGACCGATTTCAGTTAGCTGAAATGTGTTCTGCACTGAAAAGCATACTCTTGCAAGAAAATCTCCATAACGCCCCCGCCAACTTAGCTTGTTTTGATGGTCATCGAATAAGAATGAAATGGGCTAACATGTGCACTAATTCATAGAGTTTGTCGTCAAAAATTTAATGCTTCACACAAATGTTCTACAGTTAGTAATATTCTAGTATAAAGGCAATTGGCGAGTAGAAAGTTGTAGATGAAAGATAAGGCGAGAGCTGCCGGAGCCAGTACACCAGTAACTTATCAAACGCTCCGGCGTTTGTAAAAATCCCAAAATTTGAAAAAGGCCATCAATGAGTGCACAAATGCGAGGCAAAAAACCGGCCTTTTTTCATTTGCGAAAAAATAAGAGTGAACATAAAGATAAAAGGATCAAGTTAGGAATTGTGCAGGCTCTTTTTGGTCATGAGATGATCTTCAAAATTGTCCCTATACATCGATAACTACTATTAAGTTGGTCCGAAAGGTCTGTCCCACCATTTTCAAAAAATCATAATTTCTTCCTGTCACAATAATTTTGCGTCAGTAAATGCATGAATTGCTCTTTGAAAGGAGCAATTTATGCATTTTCTAAATCTACCTTGGCTTTTATCTACTAAGCTCGGAATGCAGAGGTAAAATTGGAAAATGGAAATCATTTCAAATTCGGAAATTTTAAGCAAGCCCGTTAAAAAATCCAAAACGGTGCCATAAAATCCAAAACAACCAGTATCTTAGGTTTTCTGATCCTCTCTTTCTATATGAGCGAAGTTCGCGCTAATCGGGCTCTTCATAGAAATATTATAATTTTCGAGAAGAAGTGCCAAAAAATCAGTTCCTTAAAAAAACGATTTCTTGGCATTTTTCCCAAAAAAATCGTAACTTCCAAAAGAACAGCTCGATCAACTCGAATTTTGCTCATATAGAAAAAGAGGATCAGAAAAGCTAGGATACTGGTTGTTTTGGATTTTATGGCACGGTTTTAGATTTTTTAACGGGCTTGCTTAAGAATTCCGCACCTGAAGTGATTTGCTTTCCCCAATTTTATCTCTGCCCGCGAGCTTAATAGATAGCAGCCAAGGTAGATTTAGAAAGTACATAAATTGCTCTTCCAACAGATTTTCATGCAAATTTTTTGTGCTAGGAAGAAGTTATGATTTTTTGAAAATTGTGGGATAGAACTTTCGGAGCAGCCTAATACAGGGTGATGTATGCACTGGATGGTTAATATCTCTCTTCCCAAGAAGTCTTTCGCCTTGCTTTAGGTACCATTTTGTAGAGCTGGTTTCAGCTTAGAGTTACAGTATGGAGAGAATCACCGATCGCTCTTCATTACTGTAGGATTACGGTAGGAACTTGAAACATATGGTGTCAATGTGGAAAAAGCTGCCATTTCAAAATTTTGCAAAAAAATGTGAAAACTTGTGTAATAGGGTTATGGACGCTGAGTTCAATACTCAAATGTTCATAAGTTTGCGAAGCTTTCTAAACGGCGTAACCGCACATTTTAAAAACATTGAAAAAATGGCCGCTAATTCTTACGTGGCATAACTCTTCAATGAAACATCATGATAAGTTGGGAACTTTACAGTTAAAACTAGCAACTTTAATTAGCCCAGCGTAAAAGTTTTCAGGCTGTTTTGTTTCTTTTCTGAGGCAAAATATGGCCTTTCATGGCTAAAAACCCTTTTTGAAGTTTCTACCGTAACCCTGCAGTAACTAAGAGAAATGGGTGACGTTCTATACTGAAAACCTAAGTTGAAGCCAGTTTTACGAAATGGTACCTAAAGCAAAGCGAAAGAATTTTTGAGAAAAGAAATATTAACGATTAAACAGTGCATACATACTTTTGGGGCACCCTGTATTAGGTTGGTGCAAAAGTTCGTTCGCACCATTTTCAAAAACTCATAACTCTTTAAATTCCCAAAGAATCTGTAAAATCAAAGTTTTGCGTAAAAGAGGAACTTATGCTCTTTGCAACTGTATCTGAGCTGTTCGCTAATGTGTACAAATGAAGGAGATAGAAGCTCAAAACCAAAATCACTCAAAAATTGAATTTTTCGTGTAGGGTTATAAAAAATTGGAAACTTGCGATAAAAATCGGAGCAGTCAGTATTGTAGGCTCTTTCACAAGCTCTTGCCAACAGTGCAAAATTTGTGCCGATTGAGCATCTCTATAAAAAGTTATGATTTTCGAACAAGCATTACAAAAGGGCAAATTAAATTTTAAATTAAATTTTAAATTGAAAATCAAATTTTTAAGGAACTGATTTTTTGGCACTTCTTCTCGAAAATTATAGGGATTTATTTTAGCATTTTTCAGGGAATTTCGCTCAATCGGCACAAATTTTGCACTGTTGGAAAGAGCTTGTGAAAGAGCCTACAATACTGACTGCTCCGATTTTTATCGCAAGTTTCCGATTTTTTATACCCCTACACGAAAAATTCAAATTATGAGTGATTTTGGTTTTGAGCTTCTATCTCCTTCATTTGTACACATTAGCGAACAGCTCAGGTACAGATGCAAAGAGCATGATTTCCTCTCTTAAGCAAAATTTTGAACGTACAAATTAGTTGAGAATTTAAGGAGTTATGAATTTTTGAAAATGGTGCGAACGAACTTTTGCACTAACCTACTATATGTGCCTACCAGCTTTTGTAGTGGAGAGCGCCTCGTTAGAGAAAAACACCTTTGAGGAAACACCGCGGAAATGTTGCGGATTTTTTCGTTTTTTTTCTGTCGCGTTTCTCGTCAGGCATGTTATATTTGATAGCCAGAGGCTCGCTGAATTCGGAACAATCAAAGTCATTTAAAAAAAGGTGATTTTGAAAGAACTTATGATATTTTGAACTTGAAAATTGCAAACGGACAGAACTTATGCAGAGAAGGCAAGTATTATGCGAGAAAGCGTGCACGCAAGCAGCGTTCAGAGGTGCGAGGAGCCGGGCCCCTAAAAGTAAAGAAGGTTACAGCTACCACTGGCCGGCCAAAAGTGAAGGTGGTAGTGCCGGACACTCACCTCTCAAAAACGTTGACCGGAGTGGAGGTAGAGAGGGGGGGGGGGGGAAGAGCACAGGACGGACTTTGGATTTGGGTTTTTTTTGAGTTGGTTTGGGTTTTTTGGTCTTTTTTTGGTTTGGGCTTTTTTCGAACTTTTGAGTTTTAATTTTTTTCTTGCTGAAACTGAAAAAAAGGAAATTGAACAAAACGAATGCAAAAGAAAGTGTTGAGAGCATATTCTATGTAGTTTACTATTAGGAAGTCGCCGTCGCCCACTGCGAGCACCTGGAGGCCATCACCGACATGGGCGCATATACGCCTCAGCACTTTCTACGATAGAGCAAAGCTTCATGACGACTTCGGATAACTGAAGAGCTCTAACCCAACGGTCCTCTTTAGGGCCTATAACTGTGAACCAACGGCCCTCTTTAAGACCACAAATACGATGAGTACAATTGCATAAATATTTTAAATAAACGTGTTAATGAAATAGTGTATTTGTGAGTGATACTCAACTAGACTTTATGTGTTTTATCAAGTACATTTTGTTATGACGTAGGGCGAAAAAAGTAAGTCGATCCAGGCAGTAACCGCCGAGAACCGAATTTCGAATGATAAAATAATGAAAAATCGTGCGATGATTCCACTGTTATAAATCTGCTGGTTGAAGACGCCACCAATTGAGACTTCATAGGTTAGATTTTCCCCTTTGAGAGCTTTCAAACGATATATAATATGAGGGGGATTCACGCCTCCCACGGCACGTGACCGGATGGAGTAATTTTTTTCAGTAATTCTCACTGGCGGCCTCCAGCCAATACATTGAAATGGGGGGGGGGGGGGAGAATTAGTGAAGAGAAGTACTCCACCCCGGGTTAGAGCCGCAAGAAACATTGCA